AACAGGCTGCAATATATACTAAGATGGTTGCAAAATAACCCACTAGATGAGTCATGGTTAGATATAGAACAGACACTTTGCAATACGATAGAGCTTTCAGACTTACCATTTATTAGCTCAAGCACAAGAAAACATGAAGGCTTCAAAAGTATTAGTGTCAGCACCTCTCTGACAGCATGGTGGGAGTATCTTAAAATGACAGAGTCTTCACTAGTACCATGCAGACGCACACCTATCTGGAATAATCCTGATATTTTGCAAAAGAATAAAATGATGAACCTTCCGGACTGGAAAAAGAAAGGAATCCTATACCTGGAACACATATATGAAGGATTGGACTCCATCCCATTTAATAGAATAGCCCCCCAATGTGGAATAGATAAGAATAGCTTTTTAGAATATCACCAAATTAAATCTGTAGTCAAACAAAAATTTAAGCTCTATAAAATAGAATTACAAACACCACCAAGGGTATTTGACTTCTATAATCTCAAACCCCCCCAAACTACTGTCTAAAGTTTATAAGACACTGTCCAAAATAGACGATAGAATATTAATCCCTATTGAAAAATGGGAGGTGGATATATCAGTCAGCTTTGACCAGAACTTCTGGTCCCAAACTTGTTTAAAAACTTTAAAATGATCAGACACTCCAATTTACAATTAATTCAGTACAAAATTCTACACAGAGTACACTATACAGGTCATCGGATGTTCAAGATGGGGTTTGTGTCGTCTGACACCTGTACACACTGCACAAACAACGTTCCTGACAATTACACTCATGCACTGTGGTCCTGTCCACCTGTCCAGGAATTTTGGGGTAGAGTGTGTGAAGACCTGTCAAAGTGTCTGAAATGTCATATCCCAACTTACCCCTCTCTTTGTTTACTGGGAAACCTGGACGATGTCCTGATTGAAACATCTTTGGCTCACGTGGTTCTGACTGCCATATGCATCGCTAAGAAAACTATCCTCTTGAATTAGAAAAATAGAGAAACTCTCTGCATTAACCAGTATAGAAATCTTTTGTTAGATCATATTACACTTGATTTAGCCTCTGCTTCCACTTCAAATCAATCTCTCTGGGCTCCTTTGATCGGTTCCATCACATAGCGATGATGGGGGATCACTGATATTGCCCTGCGGGATGATGTGGGTGATGGTGTGGAGCATCCGGACGTTCCCTGGAGGTGGGTTCACTGGGGGTGTCTGGAACTGGGGGGCTGCTGCCCCTCTCTGGAGGTGCTTGGGTTGCCTCAGGGGGTGGACTACTAGCAGTTGTGAGTGGGGCCCCTTGGGGGTTTTGGCGGTGGCCATGGGTCGCTGCCTGGCAGCTGCATTGCCCCTGGGCATCACCAGCATTCAGACATTAATTCTGTTTGCTTCACAGCCAGACAGGACACGGGAAAAAGAAAAATAAATAAGAAATAAATAAGAAATTTTTGAATGAATAGGCTGTTCCCAGAGTGCTGTATCAAGACACCTCAGTGGGAAGTCTGTGGGAAGGAAAATGTGAGGCAGAAAACGCCGCACAACAAGAAGAGGTGACCGGACCCTGAGGAAGATTGTGGAGAAGGACCGATTCCAGACCTTGGGGGACCTGCGGAAGCAGTGGACTGAGTCTGGAGTAGAAACATCCAGAGCCACCATGTACAGGCGTGTGCAGGAAATGGGCTACAGGTGCCGCATTCCCCAGGTCAAGCCACTCTTGAACCAGAAACAGCGGCAGAAGCGCCTGACCTGGGCTACAGAGAAGCAGCACTGGACTGTTGCTCTGTGGTCCAAAGTACTTTTTTTGGATGAAAGCAAATTTTGCACGTCATTCGGAAATCAAGGTGCCAGAGTCTGGAGGAAGACTGGGCAGAGGGAAATGCCAAAATGCCTGAAGTCCAGTGTCAAGTACCCACAGTCAGTGATGGTCTGGGGTGCCATGACAGCTGCTGGTGTTGGTCCACTGTGTTTTATCAAGGGCAGGGTCAATGCAGCTAGCTATCAGGGGATTTTGGAGCTCTTCATGCTTCCATCTGCTGAAAAGCTTTATGGAGATGAAGATTTCATTTTTCAGCACGACCTGGCACCTGCTCACAGTGCCAAAACCACTGGTAAATGGTTTACTGACCATGGTATTATTGTGCTCAACTGGCCTGCCAACTCTCCTGACCTGAACTCCGTAGAGAATCTGTGGGATATTGTGAAGAGAACGTTGAGAGATGCAAGACCCAACACTCTGGTTGAGCTTAAGGCCGCTATGGAAGCATCCTGGGCCTCCATAACACCTCAGCAGTGCCACAGGCTGATTGCCTCCATGCCACGAGGCACTGAAGCAGTCATTTCTGCAAAAGGATTCCCGACCAAGTATTGAGTGCATAACTGAACATAATTATTTGAAGGTTGACTTTTTTGTATTAAAAACACTTTTCTTTTATTGGTCAGATGAAATATGCTAATTTTTTTAGATAGGAATTTTGGGTTTTCATGAGCTGTATGCCAAAATCATCAATATTAGAAACAATAAAAGGCTTGAACTACTTCAGTTGTGTGAAATGAATCTAATAAAGATGAAAGTCTAATGTTTATCAGTACATTACAGACAATAATGAACTTCATCACAATATGCAATTGTTTTTAGAAGGACCTGTACATATATATATATATATATATATATACATATATATATATATATATATATATATATATGTGTGTGTGTGTGTGTGTGTGTGTGTGTGTGTGTGTGTGTGTGTGTGTGTGTGTGTGTGTGTATATATATTTATTTATTTATAAAACTCTGACGCAGATCACTTTTTGTGACTTTGCTAAGTTTGTTATACTACAATTTTACCTTTGTACCAATCTTTGTAGTGTACTAATGTTCATTGTGTTCTACTTCTGACTGACTAGATGCAATTGTGAATCTCCTCTGTGTCGTGTATCCCACGCTTGCCAAATTTAGCTTGTCTGATTTTAAAAATGTTCTCGTCTAGAGAAAAACAGCACAAACTCATAACTATGTTCCTCACTCAAATAAGGACGACTGTGTGGAGAATTATGTAGGCAAGCGGGGTGTGGATGACTAAAATGTGGCATAGTTGTACTTGTATGCTTTAAATCTACAAAGGTTTTAACTTTACGAATGTTTAAACAAGCAAGAAATATGAAAACATTTTATTTGTTATAATTTTGTCTAAACAACATGTTTAGTGTGTTGTGAGGTGTTTTACAGCCTTAAAACACATAAACGTAAAATATATTGATGATTTCTTCCGACTTTCTCCAACAAGACCGATTAATCAATTATTCATAAAAATAATCAACAGATTAATCGATTATGAAAAGAATCGTTAGTTACTACCCTAACACACACACACATACACACACATATCCTCAACAAGCATGGTTCTTGATGCAAACATCAATAAAAAAAACACGATTTCCTTCTTCGTGTAATTGGGCCATTTTCTTCATTGAGAAGATCCAAAAAGACAAAACTCTTGGGTCACAAATGCAATAATAAGTCTGCATTTAGCTGCAGGTCATTTATCATTTATCCCTGTTCCAGGACAACAGAATTCCCTGGTACCTAGGAATCGAAACCGGTACTTAACAGTACCAATTTTTGATACTTTTGAGTGTTTAATAATTAATTTAATGTCTTTTTAAAATTAAATATATTTTTTCTCAACATATGAACATATTTGATAAATATCACAATAAATAACATCTGAACTGTTTGTATTTTATCATCGATTTTCACAGAAAAGCGACAAGTTTGCAGGTATGACAATAGGTAAAGAAGGAAGGATTCAGCTTCCTGCTGGGGTGTGTGTTGGGAGTGGTAATGATTGTGTTGACAGAAACAAACAGCTTCGGTCTTCTCAGACACTGATAAACATTGTCTTTCCCTGGCAGCAGAACCACCACCACCATAAATCCAGCCAGAAGATAACAGATCCATTGTCACTGGGAGGTTAGTCAGGGCCGATCTGAGCAGGAAGGTGAGCCTTTTCCAACTTCTTTTATTACAGAGCGACTACTCAAATTCTAGTTTCTCTCAAAAAGCATTGCACACTGAGATGAACGGAATCTTATTTTGAGATCTAAAGCAATGTTTTAATTTCCTCCTTATCTTCATTTAAAATATTTTATAAAATGTATTAATATATTATTACAGTTTGCCAAAGAGTACACTCTTCTGCCATTATTATTATTATTAATAATAAAAATAATAATAATAATAATAATATGTGCAGAAATGCTGAACAGTAAACTGAAAAATGAACTTGACAGAAATAATTAGTTTATAAAACACAACTGTCTTGCTAGAACGTCTCCTATGAGTGCTAGAAAAGTTGCTTTGAAACAACCATCTGTGCTCTTTAACTTTTTATAATTCATGATCACAATTTGGACGGTTTAGCAGGAACAACTAGCCTGGCAAGCCTTCCTACATGTGAACTTCTAGTCTGGACACCACATGTGGGGAGTCTACGGTTGTCTTTCAGACTGTCTCCGTACGCTATTGGACAATGAACAAGCCCAAGTGTGAGCGGTTGATGTCAAACCCGTTTCAAATGAGTCGCCGCCATCTTAGTTATTCTGCTCTGCTGCACCATCGCCCACCAATCTGACAGAGTGATTAGTAAGGCACTAAACTACTCAATGGTAGGCCTGCCGAGGCTACAAAGCAGTGTGGCTAGGCCGACCTGCAGAGAAAAATAATTTCTTATATTTATTCAGATGGCCGTTGTCTGATGATGAAAGTTGTTTTCTTATTTGCAACATTTAGGTGGTAAAAAAAATCTAAATCAGGAAAAGCAAGATAGGAAGCAGAAGCTTTTCCCATTTCAGTATCTCTACAGAAACTCTTCTTTTTATGTTTCCAGATGTCGAGCCTCCAAACTCCACTGCTGACCATGGACTTGACCTCCTCTGAAGCTTCCTCATCACTGAGGGTGTATCATGTTTTACTAATGAAGCAGCAAAGGTTTCATTTCTCTTACCATTGTTTGTGGTGTTAACGTAATAATGCCGTCCTTGTGGGGACATGTAGCATCTCCACTGAGGAGGGAGAGGGTCTTTGAGATCTTCCACTGGCAGCTGACTCAGAGACGCTGTTCTCTGTTGACAGAGAAAAGAATTAAATGTTCATAATCTGGAAAAAAAAGGCTCCTCATCAGCTATAAGATTACTTTGTTCCCCAAAGAAGCTGTGTCGGTGAGCAGCCTTTCAGATCAGTACAGATGTGCAGGATAGGGTTGAGTGAGTTAGTGAAGATCTCATTTCCTCAAGTATTTCACAACCAGCGAGTAATGACAGCATGCTGCAGTTAGCCGACTCTCTGCAGCTGTAACAAATTGGCAGGGCCCTGAGAGCTGGACTAGGACCCAAAGCTCCAGAGTCAGCACATGTGGAGGCTACAGTCAGCTGAGGCGCACATGAGCTCACAGAGGCAAACCGCTCACATCTGCTCCCAGTTAGAAGGAAAACACCGGGATGGAACGTATTAACGCAACATGATGATGCTGTTTGAGTAGCCAGATGGAATCCCAGCTCCAATCCCAGAGGGAAGTCTGGCAGGACGAGGTCAGTTTTAGGAAGTACAGGGAACCTTGTTAGAGTCGGATAAGCCTTTGGTATGAACCCAAGGTATGCCGCATTTATACAGCTAAAATTAGATAGCAAATTCCAGTCATGTGACATGTTTTGTATGAAGACACAACACCAACAGAACCCTGTACCATCACAGAACCTGCTGGGCCTGCTGCTCGATGGTCATTGTGCTGATTCAGCTCCATCCCAGAAAGTATTTGAGAGAAGCCATGGCTACCCCTGGACCCGCTGAGGGCTCTTTTTACATGTTAGTGTTTTTACACTTTACTACAGGAACAACGTAACTGACGGTTTTCCATAAATGAGGGCTTTGAGATGAAGGGGACTGGTGTCCAGCTCTCACTTGCTTTTACACACTAAAAACCTTCAGATTCCAGAACTTTGTAGTGCAAATAAGAGAATAATACAAATCTTTTGCAATAAAGCAAATTACCTAAATTTCAATTATTTCCTCTTGTATTTACAGCCAGTCTAAGGAACTCTGGTCCATTTACGCTCCAGTGATGCTCAACCTTAAATTAATGATGCTCTGGATCTGTAGAATCATTGTACTACCTATGAATACTCCTTCCCCATGGAGAGTCATCAATGTCATTAGGCCCTATTGTGCTGGAATGGTTGTTTTGATTAGATGCAGCTGTCTGTTGTTGCTTAATGAGCTGAAACTACCGGGGCAACTATTCAAGATGTCCAAATATCTGAAAATAAGACTCCAAATCCTGTCGTGTTCTGCTCCCTGCTCCTCTGGCTAACTTCTACTCCCTTAAACAGAAGCGCCACATACGCTCGCAAGGCATTCATTTATACTAGAGACCACTGCAGATTTATTAGAGGAAGAAAAAAACAAGAGAATGACAGCTTTATGCATTTTTACGTTACTTTACATGTTTTAACTACGTATCCCAGCTTTAAGGCCAGAAGTGGTTTTATATGAAACTGTAATCTACAAAGAGTTTAAAACATACACAGGGACAGCTGGAGCTCATGAGGTATAGCGGGTTGTCCAGTAATGGGAAGGTTGCAGGTTTGATCCTGGCTTCGACCAGAGAATTCTGCTATTGTGTCCTTGGGCAAGACACTTCACCCACCTTGCCTGCTGGTGGTGGTCGTGGGGACTGTGGCACCAGTGTTCGGCAGACCTCACCTCTGTCAGTGTGCCCCCGAGCAGCTGTGGCTACATCGTAGCTCATCCCCAAAATGTGATGATTAAGATCAAATTGGGGAAGAAATAAAACAGGAAAATTTGAGAAAAAGGCCAAAAGTTTGAGACCGGATCAAACAGATGAAAAGAAGAAAACCCTCCAGTGTAACTCCAGGGTGACATCAACACCTTTGTATAAATGACACTACTGTTTTCCTCAGGCAAACCTGACACAAAGTTTCAGGTAGTTCTCTCATGCAGGTCTGGATTCCTGTTAAAACCTTCCTTAGATACAAAAGCTGGGTCATTTAGGACTCTGAGCAACTTCCAGGTGTCTCACAACAAGATGAACTTAAGCAAGATCTGGGGTTGGATTTCCTACAGGGTTTCTCTTGAAATAATGAATAACTGAGCTGATGATTTGTAGAGTGGCCCTATACGGGTTCGCAAGAGACGACATAACTCTGATGAAGAGTGGCGGTTGGATATAGGCTAGGAATAGAGCTCTTGGTGGACTTAAATGATAAGATCACTGAGAAACAGTTTTTACTTGTTATTTTTTAAATATGGTTGGTGGAGTTTAACATGCAGGCTGGACGTGAAAATAGTTTTCTACCCTTTTTTCCTGTATTAGCTGCAAATAGAAAATAGACGGGGAAACGCTTGGATGACAAATGTCAATAAGATGTACGTCACAGTGGAAATTTACATTCACATACTCACCCATCTTGGCTCTCAACGAGGAATGCTGATGTTGGTTTAGCATCCATGAGAGACCAGCTAGTAGAAACTAACATTAGCAATTCCACTACAAGTTGAGGCCCCAGCACAGAACCTTGTGGGACACCATGGGGGAGGGATGTGGTGGAGGACCGAAACTTGAAGATGGCCACGGAGAAGGAACGCTCAGACAGATAAGAGGAGAACCACGCCAGAGCAGTTCCTGATAGGCCTACCCAGTCTCTGAGCCTCTCCAGTAGCAGGTGATGGTCAACAGTGTCAAAGGCTGCAGTCAGGTCCAGCAGGACCAGAACAGAACAGTCCCCTGCATCACTGTGAGTCAGAAGGTCATTAGAGATCCTAAGAAGAGCTGTTTCAGTAGAATGAGCTCCACGAAAACCCGACTGGAAGCAATCATAGATGTTATGTTCATCAAGAGCAGCTGTGAGTTGTTTAGCCACAACCTTTTCCAAGATCTTGGAGATGAACGGAAGTTTAGAGATGGGTCTGAAGCTGCTATGGAGAGAGGGGTCGAGACTTGGTTTTTTAAGAAGCGGGTGGATTACAGCGTTCTTAAAGTAAGCAGGGACCTGACCAGAGACCAGAGAAGCATTAATTATAGAGAGCACGCTGGGACCGATGGACTGAAAAGCACTTTTAAACAAAGATGAGGGTAAGATGTGGAGGGGGCATGCAGAGGTCTTCATAGAGTTAACTAGTTTGGTTAACTCAGGCAAAGAAACAGGAGCAAAGCTATCTAGGATGATGGGCCTGGTTGGAGTCGGAAGAGGCAGCGATAAGGCTGAAGGAGAGATGCTAGATCTAACCTTATTGACTTTGTCCACAAAGAAAGACAGAAAGTTTTCACAGTCTGTAACAGAGTGGATGGAGGCTGTAGGAGAGGCAGGAGAGATGATGCTGCTGATGGTGTTAAACAGTACCTTGGGGTTCCCTTTGCTCTGGGACACCAGGTTGGAGACAAAGGAAACCCTCTGACTGCACAGTGAAAGAGCAAGTCAACCCCTACCAGAGTCTAACTCCACTCCCACTTCATGTTTGAAAAATGCAACACATGCTGTTGCCTGGCAGACCGAGAGGGCGGAGCCGCTAACAAATACACACACACTCAGGCTCATGACAGCATTGTGACATCATAATGTACAAGTGTACATCATAGCATACCTCTTAGCCAATAGCGGTGGCAGATTTAAATTAAAATACAGTGCAGAGTTTTTACCTGACAACGGCACAACACTGCCAGTTTTAGGCAGAATATTTAAATTTTAACTAAGATGCACTGAAGTGCCAAATTATTGACGACACGTGTCTGCAGCACGATTAGACACTCGTTTATTTAGTTTATCAGCAAAAAAAGTTTATTTGGGGGTGACTTGCTCTTTAAAGGACGTCAGAACTAGGGCTGAGCCATATCAATTTTTTGTAGAACATGCAAGCGGGCCGTTGTGTCAAAGGGAGGAGACGCCACAAACTTATTTCATCATTTGAAGCAGAAGCACTTTTTGGAGTACAACAAAGCTGTTAAAGCACGCGAAGAGGCGTCCCCTTCAACAAGTGTGGCAGTAAGACCAAAGAAGCTGACTCAACAAACAATCTGTGCAGCTATTGCAGTAATGCATTGTTTAGCCAGGGATATGACGCCCATTCAGAGTGTGGAAAAAGAAGGTTTCACAAAGATGCTTAAAACGTTTGATTCACGCTACAAGCTGCCCACCAAGAAATACTTCTCTAAAGTCGCTTTGCCTACTTTATATGAAGAGGTTCGTACTGAGGTGGTAAATGCATTATCGTCTGTGGAGTTTTTTGCGTCCACCACGGACATGTGGTCAAGCCGAACATCAGACCCCTACATGAGCCTCACAATACACTACGTGGACAAAGACTGGAAGCTAAAAAACAAGTGCCTTGAAACAAGTTTTTTCCCCGAGGACCATACCAGGGAAAATATAGCCAAAGGCCTAAAAGAGTTCCTCAGCTCGTGGAATCTTCAGGAGGAAAAACGGGCGTGTGTGACGACAGACAGCGGGGCCAATGTTGTGAAGGCTGTCGCACTCAACAACTGGACCAGACTTTCATGCTTCGGACATCGCCTGCACACTGCCATAGGTACATTGATTAGAATGTCAGATTAAGCATGTCTTGCATTAGTTTAAATGATAGTAATGTTTATATTATTAATCTTTAGATGTCTTTAAAAATGAACAGGAAGGCTGGATGTGCACATTTATGCTGTAAGACATTTTAAGGTGTGTGTGTGTGTGTGTGTGTGTGTGTGTGTGTGTGTGTGTGTGTGTGTGTGTGTGTGTGTGTGTGTGTGTGTGTGTGTTATACATTAAATTTAAATGTCACACATTCCACACTGCATTAATATTGGTTTTGAGCATTGAACTGTTTTCCTTTAAATTCGTGGTGCGTCAGTCACCCTCACTGGGGGTTTTTAAGACTCGCCTTAAGACCCTTTTTTTTTTGTCAAGGCTTTTCAGGTTTAGCAAATTTTACCCAGTTTCGATGCCCCGGCCTCTTAATCTTTTTCTGGATTTAATTTTTTGCTCTTACTCTCCTCTTTTAATTGATTTTATGCTGGTTTTACAATTGTTATATTTTATTCTGATGGTTTTATGTTTTTGTT